GTGTGGTTGTGTATGTGTTCTGACAGACTGACAAACAGAGAGACAGACAGACAGAGAGACAGACAGACAGACAGACAGACAGACAGACAGACAGACAGACAGACAGACAGACAAACAGACAGATCACCAACAAACACGCAAGTAAAACGTGATCACCTTGTATCTAGAAAGATGAGCTTGAGATCCAGAGAAGCTCTGAACATGAACATATTGTTGAACATCTTGATCTCGGTGATGGCTGACGGGGGAAGGGAGTGACCCACAGCCACAAGCCCCACGTTCTGGTAACAGCCATCATACGGAGCGATGTCCATTGTGTACTGCTTGATCTTCAGGTAACCGCTACAATGGATTACCTAGCGAAAGACAGTATACATTTTGTGTCTAAGTTTAGCTTTAGTAAGAGATTTTACTACACTTGCAAAACAATAAGGTGAAAGGTAGTATACATTTTGAGTGTTAGTTTAGTTTTAGTAAGAGGTTTTTATAACATTTGCAAAACAATAAGGCCTGAGATTAGAGGTGTTACAAGAGAGTAACAAATACACAAATGAAGTAAAAGAGATAAGAAAGATTGCTGTGTGGCAGAAAAGAAGGAGCAAACCTCACCAGAGCACCCGTCAACCATCCACATGCTGTGTCTTATGTGAGCTTGCTTGACCCGTGTCTGTGATGTCGCAGTTTGGCGCATCGCTGTCACACGCAGGAGACCCGAGTTCGATTCAATCCTAAGTGGGGAGAAATATTCTATCGAGTATCTCGGTCTTTCAGTAGGGATGTTGTATCCCTTTCAGCCCGGTTTGGCACTGACAGGCAGGATCGGAAGCTCACGTCCTGAATTATTTCAACTGTTTCGATGGGGGCGTTAAAAGAACACTCCTTCATCGGAAATATTAGAAATCTGAGCTTGTTTGTAACTACAATATACTATAGCCTTGAATTTCGTATTTGTTTTGTTTTGTAAACTAGCGCCTTTTTTCAAACCCACGAAGTTTTGTAATTTTTCTTTTCTACACACACACACACACACATACAGAGAGAGAGAGAGAGAGAGAGAGAGAGAGAGAGAGAGAGAGAGAGAGAGAGCGTGAGGGGGGTGGGATACATACCTGCATACCCTTCTCCTGCTGTATTGTTTTTGTAACTGCCTTGTCTACATTTTCCATTCATTTTCTCTTTCAAATTTGTATTAACTGAGTTTGAGTGATTTGTCCACAGCCAGAGGACAATTTTTAAACAATGAAAGGGTTGCATATAGTTGAATTATTTCAAAAGATCAAAGGCGTCGAAACTAAAAATAGTCCACTTAATTGCCCGAGAAATTGGGATGATTTATCCAAATTTCGGTCTTTCTAACCCTTTGATATCACCGGGTTTCTCTACAATATTAACACATTTGAATATTTTAAGTTTCTCTGAAGAAAGCCTCATTGCGCCGATCTCCCGATTCAAGTTCCTCGATGGCTTATGAATAATGACTTCCGATACCTTTTAATCCAGACCGAGATGACAGCTCCACATTCAAGTACTCGGGTGTTATTACTTACACCTGCGGCTAAGGTGCAATCGATTACACATACATGGGTACATATACATACTCATATTCGTTATCAGTTCACCGCTTTTGTGGGCGGTGTTTGCCCTCGTTTGTTCTGGGACAACAATAACCGCCGCCGTTCCCTGGTATCGCACGAGTGCAGCAGGGTTATGACTAATAAATACAGCGACACGCGGAATGCTGGCGATAAAGTTTTAGCGACGTAATCCGGCCCTGGATCATATCCTAGCGCAAGTGTTGCTGTAATATTCAATTGTAGTTGTAGCGCTGATACAAAAGACTGGCTCGGGGTCCAGTCGGGATAGCTGGTGGTGTGCGGAATTCTGGATCGGCTGCTATAACTTTAATGTCTTTTACAACGAAAGACGTAAGGAATGTTCAAGAATCGTCATTTATATTTCAGCATCGAACAGTTTCGACAGCTCTGTACCACCGAAACTTAAGAGGTCAAGAGTGGTGCTTGTTTGAAGTGGGAAATGTATGTTTGTAACCGGCTGTGCCAGCTTGCTCCACGAGGACGCAAAGATAAAATTCGGTTTAAAAAAAAAAAAAAAAATGGGCGTGTCATTTGAATCTGTCAAAAAAGCTCGTTTAACGATATTGTTTTTCCGCATCCTCAAAGCACAAAATCAAGGAAAACTGAAAAACAAAAGAAAAAAATGTTGCGTTGCGGCTGTTGTTGATATTGTTGCTACTGTTATTGCTCACACTGCTATTTTTGGTTGTTGTAGGTAATCCTGACGCACCATGTAATATCTTCAACCCTGTGCTAAATTGTAGTAGCTTTTCTAAATGAATGGCCCACTTGTGTTGGAAAAGGCGTAAAATGGGAAGTCCTTCAAGCTGTTCTTTGTTGGTGCTAAAAATGTTGCGCAAAATGAGAGCGCATGGAAACGGTTTTTTGCTTTTTGTTGTTGTTTTTTCAAGGACCGCGTATACTAAGAAGAAAAAAAACAGAAAATCTAACGATATAATGACAATGATATTAATTAAGCTAATGACTAATCAGAACTCACCTTGTAACCTCCTGAGGTCAGCCCTGCATTTCTCTTGGCAAGAACACATTTCATCCTCAAGAAGAAAGATCTCTCGATCTCTACATCTGCCAAAGACATAAATATATGGATGATAATCAAACAATGACAATCAAATGGCAATCTTCATTTATCTTCTAGGAGAAATTTGTCTTGATCATTTACAATGATAGAGGCATTACAAATTTCACCTCAGCACAAAATGTACGTGTACATTAAGATCACCGAGAGGTCAAAACTCACCTTGAAGAATATGCGTGTGGTAGGGGTGATGTACAGTGAGCAGAGCGGTCATCTCGTCGTGGTCAGCCGGGTGGATGTACTCGTAGATGCTGCCACCGGTAAGCTCCACTTGAGACAGACCCAGATGAACAGAGGCCGTTTCCGATATGTACATGATTTTGCCGTCAGGAGCTACCACGAAAATGAAGCCGTCAAGGG